TGAATATAATAAATGGTGGTTAAAGAGAGGTTAGGGAACCACTCTACATTGTTTATATATAAAAGTCAATAGTTAGTAAATCATATTTAAATAAAATCTGATTTTATTTAAATATTACTAATTATTGATTATTTTATACTAAAAAGTATAGTATAAATATGTGTAAAGAGTTTACAAAATTAAGCTAAGTCATTTTACATAATTTCTTCCACAATAGAGAGATACATTCAAGAGTTTAGTGTTTTTCAAGAATAGTTCTTGAAATATTTCCTTATAAATATATATATATATATATATATTCTATACTATCGAAAAACCGAGAAGTTTCTACTAGCGAAGGAACTTTCGTCGGAACCCGATTTCAAGAAGGTGGATATGTTTAGAGGGAAGACACGTGGATTCCTAAGCGAGTTACCACAAGCAAAAGAAGCGAAGTGAAGTTACCAATCCGGAAACCGATTTCCTCAATCCATCAACGGTAAATATTGTATTTACTATCAAACAAATCAAAATTTGTATTATTACATGTTTTTAAAGATGACGATCTGTTAATTCACCATATGTATGTACGAGTTATGTATTTAAGTGTTAAATACATATTTTAAAAAAATTTTAAATTCCGCTGCGTATAGCTCGTACGGTACAGGCGAACCCAACAGTGGTATCAGAGACACGGTTATCATCTTTAAAAATAGATTTTGATTTGTTTTAATGTTTATATGATAAACAAGATAATTAAATGTTTATGTGATAAACATATTAATTATCAAAAAAAAAAAAAAAATTGATGTCGCGACATAAGTCGCGAGTCGCGACATGATGTCGCGAGTCGCGACATGAAATTTACATGTCGCGAATTCTATTTTTTCAAGCTCCAGTTTCTCGCGAGCTGAGTCGCGAGTCGCGAGATAAGTCGCGAGTCGCGAGTCGAGTCGTGAGATGGTCGCGAGTCGCGAGTTTTTGTGGAGAAGAGCTGGATCAGCCTCTGTTGTACTCGCGAGTCGCGAGACAAGGTCGCGAGTCGCGACATGTAAGTCGCGAGTCGCGAGTCGCGACTTGATTAAAATAAAAAAAAAAAAATTAAATTTTCATGTGATGAATGGTTTAATTTAGGGATGATCATGAGCCTCATATTTAATATGATTGAATGTTGCATTTTACAATATGATTGTATGTTTGAATGGTTTATTCAATATGGATGAATATTGCATTATTTTCAAGATTGAATGAATGTAAACGAGACCTGCGAGTCTCTTGTTCAATGAGATTGAATGTTGTACTTTTATTCAATATGATTGAACTAATGTAATTTATCGAGACCTGCGAGACTCTTTAGTTATGATTTGTAAAATTTTAAATTTTTTGTATCGAAATAGATTAGATCTAGGTTGGAGAACCGTTCGATGCAAAAGGCCCACAATCGTATGGGTAATTTTACAAGTTATAAAGCTCGAAGGCCTGTGCTTGTACGGGTAGATAAAATGAATTGTAATAGAAGTAGTTCTATTTATTTGTTTTATCACGTACATAGGCATAGACCCATTTTGGCTCGAATGGGTCGTATAGGCAAGGACATGATCATCCCACCGTATGCATGCATTAGATGTATGTTAGGTTTATTTATGTTTATTTAGGTTTATTTAAATAAACGTAAAGATGGTAAACGATGAGATCACGAAACCCTAATGAATTAATAAGATTAATTCATATCATATCAATAATGGATAAAAATAAGCTGGGACTTATTAATCCAGGCCTTCCATAAAAAAGTAG